AAGAAAGAAAGAAAGAAAGAAAGAAAGAAAGAAAGAAAGAAAGAAAGTTCATTCATTGGAAACTGGGATAATTTGGTTATAAAAGTGGTAATGATAGTAAAATAATTGCTTCTATTTGTTAAGCCCTGCTTTGCAAAAGACAACTGCAAAAGCGCCCACTATTCATCCACTCATTAATGCTCCTTACAAGGTATTTGTATGGTTTTTATCTTATTTTGAGATGAAGACGGTGAGAAATTTGGGCTGGCCTCCTGGCCTAATGGTAGTACCTTGATTTACATCTGGCTCTACCCAACATCTGATCCCTGTGTGCACTAACAGTGTGCATTGGGCTTGGTTCCTGTCTCATGTCCTTTAATACACGTGTCTGTTGTGAGGTTATTCTGTGAGTGCTCCATGCCTCACTTACCCTGACATCTAAGAGGTGTTGAAGGACACATGACATACCAGTCCCCCAGATACTGAGAGGGATCAGACATCCACTCCAGCAAATGGCACAGATGTTTAAATTACCCTACAACATGAAGTGCTGAGGCAACCAAAGCCCCCCCGCCCCAACCCAGGGGAAGGCATGACTCTCCAAGGTTTTTGCAGAATTTCTATTCTGCCATTTAATAGTCAAAGCCCCCTTCTTGGAGTTGCTGGTCTTATGAACAGACCAGTACAAACTATTGCTCTCTTTGTGGCCTCTCTTGATCTCTTCCCCTTCCTGCATGTCTGCATACTAAGAGTCTCTCCCTGACTTCAGCGAGGGAAAGGGTCCTTCCACCCTCTCAGGACTGTTTCCTGGTGGTCTACTATTGCCACTACCTAGGACTGCCCTCAGTGCCTGTGGAGCAGACCTCGTGCCTCCGTGATCCTCTCTCCATCAATTCTGTGTTCAATGAGAAGGCCTGGGAACCTTGAGTAAGTGTGGCAGAACTCTTGCCCTGGCTTGCCATATTTATTGTCATTATTAATATTACTCAAGAGCAGTAATAAGCAATGTGTATTGGCAGGAGGGGATTGCCAAGCTATATAGCCAAATATGGTTTTGATACTGTTCCTTTAGTAAGGACCCAAAGACCACAGCTCCTTCCATCTTTAATATAAAAAAAGAGGTATGTTTGCTGAGAAACTAGATTATTCTTAAAAATAATTTCTTCCCTGGCTGTAGTCAAAGCTCAGAGGCCTCTTACACTGCTATAACTTTAAAGAAAGATTGTTTTAGACAAGTCTTTGCCCTGTCTTATTTTCTCTTCTCACAATTTCTCCATGATTTCCATTAACATCCTTTATCCTGTTCTAGGCATATACAAAGAAAGGAGGAAGATAAAACTAACATGCTTAATGAATGAAAAAGTGTTTCATCTTGTGGGAAAGATCAAGTCTCACAATGACAAGAGCAGAACCCTTCAGAAGGAAAAAAAACTAGAGTAGAGGTGAGTGGTGTTCAGCTTGAGCCTCCCCAGACTTAGAGCGATTGCAAATGGAGCCCTGTGAAATCTGGGTGGCTGGTTATTTACAGGTTATTTACATTCATGCCTCTGTCTCCCTTGCAACACTCTCCACATTGTTAGGTTCTCTTATTCTTCCCATGGGCAGGCCTCCGGAAACCTAACCTGCAACTAACACACTAATAAAGTTAACAATCTGCCAGTTCTCTCCTGCACTGGAGCAGATAGTCCTTAGGAGATGGCCACACACAGCATAGCATGGTAACCAAGTTAAATTGACTACCAATAGGTGGCCTTAAAGGTGACCAGATGATCTTTCTGTGAGGATTTTCCCATAGTCCTCCATATACCAATTACAATGATGTCAAGGGGCTCCTGACTCCTTCCACAAGATAACAGATGTGCTACAGCATTTCAGGTGAAGCTTGTTGCTAAGCAGGCAGGGCAAGCGTAGTAACTAATGACGGGTTGATACAAGAATTTTAAATATCTAAAACCTTGATAATGTCACCAGTTGTACTTCAAGTTCTGTAGGACTCCACCTGTAGCTTAGGGTAAGACAGAGTCCCACAGTCATGACCAGGTTGTGGCTGTAAAGAAAATGGGGCATCTCGAAGAGCCAGAATAGCTACTGCCTGTTCCAACGTGGCTTCTAAGTTTTTAGCCAAGTTGCTATAGTAAGTAATTGCCTTTCCTCGTAGGGAAAAAGGCCCTACAATGGCCAAGTTTAAGCACAAATCACGGTACAGTACATTAAAACCTCACAGGGGATTTGAAAGCACTGTTCCTGGTCTTGGGATTTCTAAGCCGCCCCCCTCCTCCGAAATAAGTCAGTTGTTTTTGCCACATCTCCAAGGAGTATTCCAGAGTCAAATCGTGGCTTTTTCCTCCCAAGTACATTTTCTACCGTCTACAGAGCCATCCCTGACTCTCCTCTCTCTCTCCTCCAGATGTTTCTTCCTCACATTTCTAAGTCCTGCGTGATAAATGTGTCTCCAGTAGAGCTCCGTCTCTTAAGCACCGTTGCTCCCTCCAGATGGAGCCACTATCATCTGGAACGTGGGACTTGGTGCATTCCCAGTACTCACTCACAGGATCTGGTAGTGTTTATGCAGGCCTTACCAGCTCGAATCCTCACCCTACTCCCAGGCCTTAATATGTTTGAGGCAATGTCAAGGACATACAGTAAAACAGATTGTAAACTGCTTATCTAAAATCCAACTACAACTGGCCTATATTATATCTGTCAACCCCAGGTGAGCTCAGCCTATTCAATGTGGATTCCACAGCTCCTTCCATTGGTCCAAAGGAGTCACTGGGCCTGGAGTGGCCAGATCTATAGAGTAACAGAAAATTTCTGATTACCCCTCAGCTTGCAATAATCAAATCAACCACCCAGCCGTTCCCATGATCTTTTCAGGGGAGAATTTGTTCAAAGATATGCTGAGAGAGAGAGAGAGAGAGAGAGAGAGAGAGAGAGAGAGAGAGCGCTCTCATTTCAGAAGTGAGTACTTTTGTTTGCATTAACAATGAAGACTTGATTCTCAACTTTTGTGTTTAACTAGACTGCCCTCTTGTGGCAGTTACGGTGAACTGAGCCTCAGAGGTCTTAAAGGTCTTAAAACTGGGGTTGTAGACCCACTGTGTCCAAAATTCTGTGTCTTATGCTGTGGGAGAAAAGAAATGAGTCATATATATACAGACAAGTGACAATTTTCTATAGACCTCTAAAGCCTACTATGCTTCCTAGAGTGGGTTCTTTAAATTCTTCCATGTTTCTTGGTTAATCACAGGTTATTTACTTTTAATCCCATCTGTATTAAAGCTGAAATCTATAACTCCTTGGATGCAGCTAGCCTTCAGTTGGATGTGAAGATGAGCATTCGGTTAGTTGGGCTGCCTGATGATTCTGTGCTCCCAGTTAAGCTAATTACTTAGTTGCCAGGGGTGAGAGTGAGGTGGGGAATCTAACCTACATTTCCTGAAACTGGATAATGCAAGAGAATTTCCTGAAGGTGAGCATGTTGGGATGATGCATGTTCTCAGTGGCTTTATAGGTGAAGTGTCAGGAGAGCTTAACCACAGCCCAGTGAACAGAGTACAAGTTCCATTTCCCAACGGCGAACACTGAGGAGGCTCTGGGAAGTTGAATGACCAGGTCACCTTGCAAAGCAGTGGCAGATGAAGACTGAAGGTGGCAGGGGTAAAGGCTGTGGGGCGGGATAGTACTAGAAACGGACAAAGCTGGCAGGAGTGAGGTGGCCAAACTCTGAGGGACCCAGGACACAGAAAGATTTGGTGCAAAGCAGATAGTTCAAAGCTAGCTTCTTAACCACATAAACAAATGCATACAACCTCTGACCTCAGTCTTTAAAGCCATATTGTGAAGTTTTGTATTCTAGGTTGAATGTATGAAATCACTGATAATGAATTTTGCAGGGTGTGATCTAATGAAAAGGCTAAGCTTCTAAAGTATTACGCAACTCAGATCAAGTTTGCCTATGGGAGCTGCACTTCGGTCATGGTCTGTGACCCCCTCTGGCACCACACATGGGAATGTTCTCTCTCACACGGCAACTGGCTGTTCTGGAAGGCAGCCATGTGGGGGCTCAGATTCTCCCTTGGCAGCGTTCACATAGGCTGGTGCTTTCTTTCATTGTGTTCAGAATGGTCTGACATTATGTAAAGTCTGAATGGCCCTTCACAATCATGGGCTGCTCTATAATAGCTGGACACTACCTGGATATTTGGGCTAGAGTGTATAAGGTGCTTCTCATTTTATATTTGTTATTTGAAGGGTAAAGTCCTGTACAGGTGCACGCACGTTTGGAACTTACAGAAATGCATGTGCATCACCAAACCCAGGCTCTCTAACGGGCTCTTTTCTCTTGGATAAGGTTGCCCTTTCTAGCCACTCTTCCACTGCAGCCCTCATCTCCTGTGTGGTCCTCAGCAGCTGTGTAGTCCTTCATATTACTCTCTGCTCCTGCTTCTATCCGGATCCAAGACACTCATCTGGTCATAGGATCATATGTAAAGAACCTTTTTCTTATTGTTTTTTTTTTTTTAAATAATTAAATCTGGTACTTACACTGGTCATTTTGGATTGTATTAGCATACCATGCTTCGGAATCAACTTCTCCGGCTCTGACACCTTCTTTTGAGCAGCTATACAAATATTTATGGTATGTTACATATAATCAGCCACTCCCTACTTGAGGAACAGTAGCTTTTTTCCCTAGTCCTCTGCTAGGATGTATAGGTCTTCATACTCTGGTGTTTTCATTTGCGTGGTAGGCTGGAGAAGCAAAGAGTATGTGGTGATTTGAGTGAGGTGATCCCTCATAGACTGCCACAGAGTGTCACTACTTCAGAGGATTAGGAGGTGTGGCTTTGTTAGAGGAAGTGTGTCACAGGAGGTGGGGGGGGGGTCAAAAACCCCTGCCAATCCCAGGTTTCTCTCTATGCCTATGGATCAGGACTCAGCTACTGCTCCAGTACCATGATGACAATGGACCAAACCTCTAAAGCTATAAGCAAGCCCCCAATTAAATGCTTTATTTTTTTTAAGCATTGCCATGGTCATGGTGCCTCTTCACAGCAATAGAACATTACCTAAAACCATATAATTGTAATTTCAATAGCTATTCCCAGCTGTCCTTGTTAAAAGTGCTGCGTACAGGGTGAACTTTCCTGTCAATGACAAAGGAGGATGAGGCATCTCTTAATTCTCCACCAGGCTCAATGTGACAAATGACACTCTCAGATCCTAATGCATACATAAGCTTGAAGAGCCCCTTACCTGTTGTAGCTGTGGATCAGATCAAAAATCATCATGTCTGTGGTGTTGACAAACTTGCACTGGACAGGCATAAAGTCCCCATCTGCAGAGCACTGGGGTGGTGACTTGTCTCCTACCCCATGGAGGAGGCGGCGGTTTCTTATCTCACAGCTCCTTGGACCTAAACATTTTCATGTAAAACTGTTCAGTTCTTATGCATGGGGGGGGGGGGTAGGTAGGTACTGATGCTACTCATGTGACCCATGGAAACCCATCGGTGCCCAAGACAAGCCACCTGAGGCTCACAAGCATTTGTGGAAATCCTGCTTGTGCTTATAGCTGTCGGCCAGCAAGCAAGGCTCTGTGGAATGATCTAAAGCCATGCAACCGTCTCTGTGCTATTTTCCCTCTCCCTCAAAGGCCAGGCACTCTGTGCTGTCAAGCATGGGATTTGTGAGGAACCAAACTGTAGCCCACCCAGGGAATCTGGTGCCCATGACAGTGACACTTACACCGCGTTGGCCTCCCCAGCTGGCGGGTACCATACACCTCCATGCCCTCTGTGTCTACACACCAGCATTGCACTTGCCACAAGTCACACTGGACTGGTGCATAGCTGCCTGAATCCTGGCACTGAGGAAGGTAGCGAGCATCTGTGCTGTTGATGTAGCTGCTCAGCAGGATCTGCTGCCTATGTAACTGGCAGAAGGACAGACCTGGGGATACAAAGAGAAGCAACAGAGGGTTGTTGGGGAGCACACAGGGTCAGGATCAAGCCCAGGAGGGCCCTTCCTCCTTGAAGGACATTCAGCCTGACTTTCAGAAGGCTCTGACGTCTTGGGAACCGAGTTAGAAGGCGATGTCTCTCACTAGCACCCTGGCACTGTAGAGCAGCTCCTGGTACGGTTAACAGAATGTCTTAGTCGGGATTTCTTTGAGGCTGCCCGTGTTGCCTGAAAAGTTGCTTCACTACTCTGCATTTTTCTCCCTCTCTAGAAGTGAGGACAGCTGCCTCCCTCCGGATGTGGGAGGAAAAGCCACTTCTGTTTGCTCCCGTGGAATAGCTGTCATACACCAGCCTTACTACATTGCAAATCCTCACATGGGTGAGGTAGGTTCTCTGTTCATTTTGTAGATTGGGGTTGAGAGAGCAGGTGACTTTGGTTAAGATCATAACATCAGAGAGTATGAAGGGCCACCAGGGTCCCCAAACCAGCCATGCTGGCCAGACACTCAGAACTATCATCTACCACTGAAAAAGTGCTTCCCCTTTAAGCCCTTGCTTTCACCATTGGATAACACTTTGCTGAGAGCTCTGACCTGGCTTGGAACCCCTCTATGTCTGCTGCTCATAACTGACTCAGTATGGGGCACACTGGCTGGCTCATGGGAAGTCCTTGCTAGGTATTGGCTAGACTAGAGCATCTCATATGATTTTCATAGTGGTCTTTAGGAAATTGGACTTCTGCATATTCAATGATGAGGAGCCAGCAGCCCTTAGGGGAACTTGCCAGATTAACTTCCTTAAGCCTAGTGTTTGTCCCTAGATGTGATGTGTCCCACTGTAAGGGCCCCTGTCCCGCTACATGCTCCTGTGTTACTTACAAGCTGTTGGCCTTCCCTGCTGCCTGCTGCCAGGTACTTCCCTGCCATCAGCATCTACACACCAACAGGATTGGCCATCATTTTGGCACTGGATTGTCCTGAAGAGAGAAATACCATGTGACATCCTGATGGTTTCCTGACACCACATTCTGGTCCCAGCTGAGTGAGACCAGGGCCTAGCAAGTCACACAGGAAAGCCAACGCTGTGCTCAATCAAGGCCAAAGACAGAGTTCCTGGAGGGGCGGGGCGCTACACTGAGAGTTGCAGGGTGGCCTGGGGCAGGAGGTGGCTGGGTAGAGTGTGTGTGGATCCTCCTGGGGACAAGGCAGGCCTGGAACTTCAGAAAGAAATGTACACACGGATGTCAAAAAGGGAGACATACTCCTTAAGCCCTCCTTCACAACCCTGGATTCCCAGAAGTCCTGACTAGAGCTAGGCAGCAGTTTGTGCCTATGGGAAGCTTGCATAAGGGACAGAAGCAGGGAAGGTTTCCCACAGTTAGAGGTGAGGGCTGTGTGTGTGTAACTGCACAGTAGAGGGGAATAAGGACTCTTGCTAGGCAGGAGAGAGAAGCTTAGACCGTAACCTCACTCACTCAGGACCCAAGATGTGTCAGGGTATCTGCAAAAGTCCCTTTCACAGCAGAGGTCCCTGGAGGGAAGTGGCCTAGCAGCCCAGGGAGGCTATGAAAACAGGGTCAGCCAACTAACAGGAAGTTCCTGCTTTGTCTTGCCAGGGTACAGGAGGGTGGAGTGGATGCCTAGGAGCACCTTTACCTCTATTGGACCTTTATGAAAAAGGCCTTGTAAGCTATGTGTTTTGTTTGTTTGTTTATTATTATTATTAATTACACTTTATTCATTTTGTATCCCCTCATAAGCCCCTCCCTCCTCCCCTCCCGATCACACCCTTCCTCCCCTTTCTGCATGCATGTCCCTCCCCAAGTCCCTGTAAGCTATGTTTTAAAGCAGTTAAGATAAAGCTTCAGCAACACTTGAGAGGCTGTCAGCAGCAACGCACTGTCTGTATGTGAGGACAGAGAGGGAGCCCTCCCAAATGACAGCATAGCTCAAGAATCTGGGTGGGTACGATTGGGGATCACAGGAACAAGATATAAGAGGTTCTTCGAGGTGTTTTAGGACTCTAGAGCTCCTGCTAAAGCCAGTCTTACTGGAAGCTCCCATCTTCTGAGCACTGTGGAACATAGTCAGCCTGCTTCAGAAAGGCCCTCTCCCTCTGCAGCTCACAGGGACGGAGTGGTTGTTCATCTACCTGGTATTCTATGCGAACGGAAGAGATACGTGAGAAGGATGTAGGTCAGGTTCCATCCCCCACCCCTGACAGCCCTTCATATACAGTCACAAGTCTTTACCTTCCCAGTGTTATTGACAGCCCTTAATGGTATCCCCAGCACATGATTAGTTCATTTAATCATCTGTACTCTCCCAGGAGGTAATCAGAATATCTCCATTCTCCCAGTTTCTTTATCACTACTCTACCAATTCCTAGCTCTGGGACCTCAGGCAATACAGACCACACCTCTGAAACTCTCTCATCGGAACAGCAAAGGGCAAATATCTAGCCTCTGGGCATTTGTGTGGTTAGATAAAGTCAGGCATGTCCAAGGGCCCTGGCCAGAGCCTGGCAGAGCCCCGTGCCTGAAAACTCCCTCCTTAAAACCATGGCCCCAGCCTTAGAACTTACCAAAGATGTTGGCTGCCACTAGGCAGACTGAGTTTAACAAAATGAAGACCCACAAGACCAGGGCCATCTTCCTGCCTGCTCCTGGGATGAAGAGATAGGAGCAGTCCCGCCTGAGTCTCCTTGTCAGGGAGCCTTTATAGCACAGCGGCAGGCCCTGCTCTCCTGTTCAAGGACACTTGACAGGGCACTGGCTCACCTTGTTTTCTCTGCCAGTCACAGGAACTCCCTCTACTCAAGTCTGCTCCCCCTAAGAATACTCGAGTGGTCAGTAGGGTGACCACTCCAAGATGTGGGGACAAGAAATGGGAGGGTGGTACTAAAATTACTCTTTACAGGCAGATGCCAGGGCTGTACGTTAGGAGTGACAGAGCTGGATTGTACCTCTGTGAAAGATAAACTGCTGCCTCCTTTCCTCCCGATTACCTCACTGCCCCCTTCTCTCCTCTCCTTCCTTTCTTCCTTCCTTTGTTCCTTCCTCCACTATTGTTTTAGAGCCCAACATCTGTAGGTACTATTCTAGAAAATGAAGCCATGGCAGAAAACAAAACAGCAAAATTACGCCCTCATTAATATTGAATGTGAGAATTGTACTGAAAGAAGCCAAGTATAACTCCCATACCTATTCTCACATGAATGAGCACACACATACGTATGTACACACCTTTTTCTCTAGTCCGTCTTTTCGGGAGACTAAGCCCTTCTAAGCTAGCAGAGAAAAGAAGTGGGATTCTCTTCAAACATAAGGCCCATAGGTCCCTGCAGTTTCTCTCAGGATCAGCTTCCCTCCTTTCCAGCTGCCCTTGCATAACCTATGAAAATGAGCCTTATGGCTGAGCCCCAACTTCCTTCTCAGAAACAAAGCTGAGATGACAGCAGTCATATAGGCCCACTTGTCTGCAGGGTCTCTTCAAGAGAGCAAATAAAGAATCGAGGAGGGTGGTCATCCATGCGGTCACCATTGTTGTTATTATTTTCCCAATGTGCAAAGGGCATCATTGTGCCTGGTAGTGACAAATACACAGAACTACCCAGCAGGACAAAGGGCAGAGGCCAGTGAATAACATATCACTGAAGGAGCGGAGGAGGAGCATGTCAGAATCTGAAGAACAGTGTCCTTGGAAAGTGGAAGGAGAGTTATGGGAAGAGGGCATGTCTCCCATTTGGGCAGACATCAAGGGCTCACTCTCTGTGCTGAATATAGACTGAGGCAGGGGGACAGGGAGGGCTAAAGAGACCAGGCTGGTTAACTACGGCTTTCATGGTCTTGGACATAAGTGTCCAACTGTGGCAACTGTTAGCTGGCTTGGGATGCCATCACTATGTATCATGGAGGTAGGGGTTTGCACAATGGACAAGATTCTCAGAATTCTGGGGGCTGGAAGATGGAAACGAAAGTGCCAGTTTTTTTTTTGTTTTTTTTTTCCTGAGGCTCCTCTCTATGGCTTATGAGTCACTTGCCAGTCTTTCTTCACGTGCATTTCCCTTTTTGTGTCTAGGTCCCAGTCTCTCCACCTGAAGACACAGCCACATTAGGTTAGATTACCTTAAAGAGCATTATTTTAGTTTAGTCAAGACCCTTTCTCTAAATACAGCCATACTGACAGGAGGAAAACTCAACACAGAAAATAAATTAGAAATTGAGGTTCACAAATTACCCAAACACTTCAGTATGTTTTGTTCACAAGACAAACTGAGTATGGGGTTGAGACAGGTAAGAAACCCTGCTCCTGCTGCTTCCTTGGGTAAATGAATTTCAGGGTTTCCCCATCATTCCATAGCCTACATTGAGGCCTCTCCACAGAGCTAAGGTCCTTCCTCCCTGGACATTTCACAGACTGTTCTAGTTCAAAAACTTCCCATACTGATGGTTTAGTTGTGATTGACAGCCTGGAATCCTTCCTAGTCTTCTCTCTTCACAGTGGACATCTACAAATCTCAGCAGGCTGTCCCCCATCCCTTTGGTTCCATCCCCTACACTCTTCTCTTTCTTCATCTCTGGATCCTCACAGCCATAGCTTAGTAAGGCAGAAGAACTCCTACCTGAAGTTCCGGGACAGTCCTAGAAAATGTCAAAAAATTCAATCTCACTGCCAGGCATAGAGACCCCCTCTCAGGTGCTCAGGAAACCCATGTTCATGACGACCCTAGAAAATTGGAGGGAGAACAACTACCTAAGACTGGTTCCCACAAAGATGTTTCAAGGAGCTACGCTATACACCCTGAAAGAAACTCAGGAGGAAGAACTTCCCATGTCCAGAACCTGCTGCCCACGCTGTAAGGGCCTTGATGACCCCTCAGTCTGGAGGCCACCAGCACCTTTCCTGTTAGAGCAGCACATCTCTGTGTAGCCCAGCATCTCTCCATTTGCAGATTTTTCAAAGTAGACATGTCTTAGAAAGTTGAGCGAGATGGTGAAGGTTTGTCACAAACCCACTGTTCCTCCTGCTTCTCATCATGCCCCAGGTTAGCCAAGGTAGGCTTAGTGCTTAGTCACTGTGTCTGGCTCTGACCCTGGGAACAATGGAATGTAGGTGACAGGGTCTGGTCCTCGCCGCCCAGGATGTCTTGCTTCACTGGGTCTGGCAGTTTAGGACCTTTGGGCATGGCCTGTGAAGCAGGATGAAGAGGGTTCTGGGGGAGGAGGACAGGTGCTCTATGCCCAGACTCTCTTGAGAGACCATTGAAGTGGGTAGTGTGAGCTCAATATTGGGCAGAGTGGTGTGGGCTTCAGTCCACACAAGAGCTGCCTTGCCCCATCAGAAGAGGGCTTCTCTCTACCCAGGCAGTAGAGCGGAGCCAGATCTTCAGTATCCCCCACATGAAGCTGTCTCCTCACAATGACTCAGCTCATCATCTCTGCTGTACCTTTCTCCACAGCTTTCACAGTAACTCCATCAGCTTCCATGTCTGGCTAAGTCCTCCGTCACTCTGGTGGAGGGCCCTTCCTCATTGTTACAGGCAAGTGAATGCAAATTCTGAATGCAAGGACTTAACTTTCCCCTTTGTCTCCTTCTTTCCCTAACACAGGGCATCTATTCATAATTAGACATGATGAAGATGTGAGGAAAACGCAGTCATTGGGGTACACAAACAGAACCTCACAAACACACCTTCACTTCTGAGTCTACCAAATGCTTGCAACCCTATATTGAACAGCTTACTGGCCCTCTCTTTCCTGCTTCAGTCTGCCACAGCATTGGTATTGTTGGGCTCTATGGTTTATCTAGGGACAGCTTCTACACCTTCCCACACACACACCCTAGGATTCAAAGCTATATTCTTCCTCCTCTTTGGTCATCTGGGCTATAAAGAAACCTTTTCCACACTCATTTCTATAGCCACAAAGATGGGGTAGAAATGTTTTTTTCCTATCCCTCCTAAGAGTGGATTAAAGTGAGGACCTCACCTGTGAACAAACTTAGAAGATACTGAAAAGCTATTTTCTCAGTTCATGTTCTCTCCTTTCAAATGAGTTTTGGGTAAATCATTCTTCCCCACTGTTGGTTCTTTTCTATTATAGACTTGAATAGGGGCGGCAATCCTTAGCCACAACACAGCCTAAATACTCTGCTTTATTTAAAAAAAAAATTCCACCAAAGAAATTAACCAGTTTTTAAATTTTTGTTCCCATTTAAGTTCTCAGGACATGTGTAGAATGCAGACATACCTTTTGGTCAGAATGCAGCAAGAATCGCCAGTAACCTACTTGTCAATAGATTGTTTCCTTCTGGCACCTCATGATCTGGGCTTCCCTTGTCTGTGTTCTGTCAGTGCTGCATTCCTAAGTGACCTATTATCTCTACTTAAAGCAGGTAAGTACTTTTTAAGCCCAAAGTTTCAGATTTTTCTACCTTCCTCTCACAAAACCAGTCTCACATTCTTTCACCTCCCTCCCATAAACCCAGTTTCAATTCTTCTACATTCTTCCCACGAATCCAGTTTCAATGGCCAAAAAACATAAGGTCATGTTTATCACAGTAATGACCATAGTAGTATTTTGAATTAGTTACTCTTTCAGTTGCTATGATAAAAATACCCTGAAAACCAAAATTTAATAAAGAGACTGTTTGATTTAACTTATGGCTGGTGGGAAAGTCCATCGTTAGAGGAAGGTATGGCAGCAGGGGTGTGAGGCAGCTAGCCATAGTGCATCAACAATCAGAGAACAGACTGAGATAAATGATGCTTCTCAATTATTTTCTGCTAATGAGCAATCCCACAAAATGGTACCGTCACATTTGGGGTGGGTATTCCTATCTTTATTAATCTAATCAAGATAATCTCTCATAGGCATTCCCAGAAACTGTTCTCTTTGATGATAGATGTTGTGAAGTTGACTATTCATGCCATTGAAAATAGTACCAATACTGGTTTTCAGTATCAGTTGGTTTCCAGTTACTCTGTGCTAATGTGCAAGTATATTAGTTCTGGTAGATTTTCTTAGAGTTTACCCAAATACAGGTCATCTGAAATTCTGCTTCTTCCTTTAATGATCAGTACCACATTATTTCTTGGATAGCAGGTCATCCAAAAAAATTGCTGGAAAGAGGTAGGTTTATGGGGAGCTTTGCAATATTTCTTAAGAATTTTGTGTCAGTGTTTAGACAAAAAAATCCATTGACCTGCAATGTTCTATCCTCGTGTTATCTTTTCTTTTAGTTATGAAGTCAATCTTGATCTCAAAAAGAATAGCGAAGTTCTTTCTTCCTACTGTTTATACATAATTAAGATTATCTCTTCCTTAAAAGGAACAGAATTCACATTTAAGCTTTTGAAGTTTTCTTTAAGGGAAGATTTTAAAATTCAAATTCCATTTCCTTTCTTTTGGCGAAACAAATTAAGTCTCATATAAATCTTTGGAACACTTTTTCTATTTCATCCAAGCCTCAATTGAGTGTAGCTGTTCAAAAACTCTCTTCACATAAAAATGTTTATTGGATTCATGTCATTCACCTATTTTATGCTTACATAGTTGTTTGTCAATCATATTGTCCTATTTAAGAGCTAATGCTCTGATTTATATATTTCACAATTGTTTGTTCATTGGTATTTCATTGGTTGCAGCAT